TTCATTGCTCACTAACCTCATAACATTTCTATTCATGTGAACTGAAATGCGATACAATAATTCCTCATTCCTTACTATTGTTCAATCATTTAGAATCACGCGGACCATTGTGGATATGCACGAGCTCATTGACGCTTTTTGGTTCTCTGTTAATTATGAGCGTAGCAATCGCCATCGCGAGGTGTCGTTCGAAGCGACAAGTCTGTGACGTTAATGCAAAATCAAGGTTAACTTTTCATCTGGAACAGTTTTCGCAAATCACAAACATTCATACAAAAACAAAAATTCAGACAGGGCAAGAATGTTTCCAAAAACATTTAAGATAACTTCGGCGCTTATTATCTCAGCATATTTGCTCCGAATTTCCAAGCTGATGAACGATTAGTTCAGTTTTTTATGTCACTAATGCACTGATGCACTCGCTTCATATCGAAACAAGCAATGAGCCGAAAATTTTCAGCGCTCCAACACTTTGCTGCGCACAATCATGACGTTACATCAGCAGCAAGTCTTCGGCTCGTTTATCTGACGCAACATCTTCGCCAACCCGCAAATACCCGAACATTTTGAGCTGATGTGCAGTTATTATTTATGCCAATATTTATTCCTCAGAGGTATTTTTCAGCAATTCAAGGTGTGCTATTTGCACCTTTAGTTGATATTAGTTGATTTGTGGATGCATAGAATGTGTTTCGTTTGAGTAAGTCATTCCATAAATTCAAGCACTCATCAGTTGTGATTTTGGGTTCATTAATAAAGTTTCACACTTGATTTATGCCCCGTTTGGAAGTGATGTACAAAGAGGATGACAAACGATCAGGATCTGTAGCGCAATCGTTTGTAGCAAATTACCTTACATTTGGATGATCAGACCTTAGAAATAATGTGATTAATTCGCGCATTCATAATTCATTGATGCATGCACCGCAACTGAATGAGAGAACGACAGTGAGTTGAACGATAAATATAGCGGTTATATAACACTGATAATAGTCATAACAATGTGTACTAACAAGCAATAATCATCTTCTTTAATCCATTAATTCTACTAATCCTCTCTCGCGACTCCTAATTCCTTTCGCGACACTCAGCAAACTTGATGATACAGACGGTTCGAACATGCTGCTTGACGTGTTCCTGTAGTTCTGTATCGTTTTTGGCGACACAGAGATCAAATATACCGAGTTTGGCGGTATTATTGAATTGCTCAAATAGCTTGACATTTCACCAGAAAATCATCTGCATCTCTTTAAATAAGCAAAATCTCACGGCAATGTGCATGTTATTCTGAAAGCAGAGGATCTGCCGAATCCAGTGGTACCAAGAACTTATGGTGTTGCTGAGCAAACTTGAGGAAATAGATGGTTCGAAAATGCTGCTCGACGTATTCCTATAGAAGTGTATCATTGACCACGCCATAGAGATCAAATGCGCTGAGTTCGGCGATAATACAGAATCGCTCAAGTAGTTTAACTTATATTCAGAAAATCAACTATATCTCTTTGAACAAGCAAAACCTCTCAATAACATATAAATTATTCTGAAAGTAGAGAATGTACTGAATCCCATGGTAGCAATAATCTATGGTGTTGCTGAGTAAACTTGAGGATACAGGTAGTTCGAAAATGCTGCTCGAGATATTCCTATAGAGCTAGATCATTGACCAAGCCATAGAGATCAAATGTGCTGAGTTTGACGGTATTATGGAAAGGCTCATGCAGTTTGACATATTTAGACATGCTGCGATGAGTAGCGTTCTCTCGCGTAACCTCAAGCATTACCTTTAATCACCTCATCATGTTAGTTCTTCATTGAAGTTTCCTTCTCAATATCGTTCCGTTCAGAAAGCTACAATTCGGACTGTGAGATTAATATTGTGAAGAACTGAAGCCATATTAATTCTTTTTGACAAATGCATAGAGAATGTTCGCGGTTATTTTATTGAGCATCATTTTAATTCAACCTTACAAATAGCTTGTTTTTCTATACTTATCAATATATTCACACACCGTTTTTGAAGCTTTTCAAATACAATCATTTGCGATCGACGAATTTGTCCAATTTCGATGACCGGTAACTACTTTCTGCGTAGAACTGATTTTTCTCCGCATCTGAAAAAGGGATTTCCTTAAATTACATCCCCACCAATGAGAGGATACAATGGCCATGGCTACGATTTAGGCTGAGTTGCTTCATTATGTTTACTTCAAATCGAAATTAGTTCACGTTTGTATCAAAGAGATTCTTTAGAATCCACTTAAAAATTATTCTTCCATCGAAATTCAATGGACCTCTGCCAGCGGGATTCTCTTCCTGTCGGTTTTCATAGGTCGTCAAGTTCATCGTCATCCACGCTGATTGCATTTGAGTTCCTTTGCGGCACATTACGACAGAACGGACACCCACCACTGCGAAGATATGCCATCTCGAAATCGTCCGCATGGAACATCTAAACATTCGACGCTCTATTCATATTCTTCTTCATGTCATCTTCGATACTCGATACATCATAGAATAACTATTTAACAGAATGTTCATACTTAACGTGACAACCAAACTTAACTCACCCGGAAGCATGAGTTGCAGATAGTGATCGATATTTCAGGAATGATGCTGTAGTAAAAACGAATTTTCAACGGTTTTGGTAGATCGGCAATGATCACTTGATTCTTCTCGAGACTTAGTAATATTTCTCGATCAGCCATCAACTTGACTCCCTTCTTTTGTAGCTACAGTACATGAGTAAAATTTAAAACATTCCTAGTTTTTTTTTGCAATAATTATAATTGATTTTCTACACAATTTGATAACAATGTAGTGCTTCATGCGCACAAATTGAGTGTGTTTTTTCGAATCATTCATAATGAGAATGTAAACTCGCTCAATTCATGACTAGTTCAAGCAAAACGAGTGCAGTAGTGAGCTTTCCTAAGATAGATTTCACAGTTGCTTGCTCATCCACAGCTCACCTGTTTTTGGAAGGGATTGCTATCCGTGTTAGATAGTGGTGGTTCAGCTTCAATCAGCTGACGTGCTTCATCGGCCGAAATGTCATCAGAAACTTCGAACTCAACCAGTGGTAAAACCTCTGAAAAATATTTTCAAAACTACTAATTGGATGCACATATTGTTTGCTTTCAGCGTTTTTCGGACAAAAAAATGATGGATTGGATTGTAATGAGAACGTTGATTAAAGTGCAAATTTACGAAAATTGCACTGTGAACTATACTTCATCAATGAGTATGATAATTTACAGTGAACATGAGCTGTCGGACAATTTGTAGTTTATTGCCTTAAGCGATAGACGAATGGGATGAGGATGGTTGATCCGTTCACTTGCATAATGCCACAGATCAAGAGATTTACGTGACCGGTCAATCTGCCTAAAGACATCTTGCCTAACGGACAGTTTGCCTAAGGAACAGTTGGCCTACTAGGCGATATGTCCATTGACAAACAGTGAATTAGGCAAACTGTCCGTTAGGCAAACTGTTCGTTAGGCAAACTGTCCGTTAGGCAAACTGTCCGTTAGGCAAATTGTCCGTT